AAAAGTGCAATAGCACAAACCAACATTGGATAATGAAGTATGTACTTTGGAAGTCAGAGTAAACAATACACTGCAATCAATAATAGTCACAGATAAGAGAAATAAAATAAAATAGGGTTAGTGCAAATTAAAATATATTTTAAAATGGATATAATACCTAATCAAGCATTTTGTTCCTCCTCTATTATATTGTTCATATCCCCATGCTCAATAAATAATAAAAAGGGACTCCAAATCCTCTTAAATTGGTCTTCTTTACCCTTAAGAATATATGTTATCTTTTCCACTGCAATGCATGAAGATATTTCTCTTAACCATCGAGTTATAGTAGGCCTTTCTATCTTTTTCCAATAAATGGCGATGAGCCGTTTGGCATGTAGAATACACATGTCAATCAATACTTGAGTGTCCTTATTAATTTTCCAGTTATCAGGATGAATACCAATGATGAAAAGCCCCGGATCCAGTGGCAATCTAACTGAGACTATATGCCATATCATATTATTAATTTCTTTCCAAAAAGCTTTTATTTTATCACATTCCCACATACAATGAATTAATGTGCCTTTTGCACTGTTACATTTAAAACAGGTATCTGGTATGTTGCTATAAATTTTGTTTAGTTTCACCGGAGTTATATAGGTACGCATAAGCCAATTGTACTGTAACAGTTTTAGTCTGCTGTTAATTGTCTGTATTTGGGCTTTTGCACATGTTTGCTCCCATTTTTCCTTATCTATCTTCAATCCAAGGTCCTGTTCCCACATGGCAAGTCTGGATGTAGATGACTCCTGAGAACCTAACAATAACATGTTGTATAAACAAGATATGTGTCCTCCACCAAGGCTTGGTTTAGATACACATTTCTCCAGATTAGTTAGCTCTGGCTCAGCAAGTCCTTGCCCCCGGGCAGTACGTATAAAATTCCTAATTTGCAAATATTTATAATAATGTTTTTTAGGGATTTTGAACTTGTCAGTAATATCAGTAAATGACATTAGAACGCCCTCTTTGTATAGATCCTTAACTTTCCTCACACCATTCTGAGCCCAGAGTCGAAAGCCTAAATCCCTTCGACCAGGTATAAAATTATCATTTCCCCATATTGGGCTAAACACAGATAAAGACTCTTTTTCCTTTAGATGAATTCGTACTTTCCCCCAGACATTAATCATGTTCAGTACTATTGGATTAAAAGATATTCCACTAAGATTTTTCTGTAATATTTTTATATTGGCTGAATAAAGATACAAGTTAAAAGGAATCTTCGATTTCACAAATAAATTTTCTATTTCTAGCCATTTAGGAGGAGCACTTGCAGAAAAATGAAACATTATCGCTCTTAACTGTGATGCCCAATAGTAGAATTGAATATTTGGGAGCTTCAATCCTCCCCTATCGTATGATAGGTAAAGCAAAGATGTCCGGACTCTTGGGTGTTTATTATTCCAAATGAACTGGATAAAAATTCTTCGTAGAATGGTAAAAAATGAGGTAGTGGGGGGCAAAGGGATATTTTGGAAATAATAAATTATTTTGGGTAGTGTATTCATCTTTAATATATTGACGTCACTGTTTTCACAAATTCGCATTTTTTTTAGTTTACATGGAGACGATAACTGTATCGGTTTTCAAAAGTTTGGATTTTCAGGCCCTCAAAATGGCATTGTTGTGTAAATAAACGGCCAAAACGCATAAAAAGTTTTTAGTTGAAAATGGTGTTGTGTAAACGGCCCCTAAACCTATAAAACAGAAATGAGGAAATATTAAAGTTACCAAAAGATCATAAGAATTAAAAAACACCATCTTTTTTCTTTGTAATTGACAGCTTAACTCTTTTCTTTTACTTTAAGAAGTGGATCAGGCTATTTGAATAATCGAAACGTTAATGGTAAATGATAGAGTATTTTTTCCTGCTTTGGTGTATGAAGGTAAGCTTCTCTGATGGGGTTGTTAGGCTGTGTAAAACTGCAAAAAAAGACTCAAAAACACTGATCTTAGCAGATGTGGAGTTGTTTAGTCATGTTTTGTCTCTTTGTCCTGTTTCATCAGAGACTTTTAGAACCGAGCACATTTTCTTACTGCCCTTGACCAGCAGCCTGATGGCACTCCATTTATATTGTGGTGATTCATTGCACGGCACACACTGAAGAAATCGCCATGTCATTCTGATAAGGAGGAATTTTGTATTCCATGTAGAATTACCATTCTAGTACTTCTCATTTGGAAGGTGATGACATCCAGACTCAGAACAGTAGAATGCTAATGCCAAGTAAAACTATCATCTTTGTGTTTTTGTTGTTATTAATAATAAAGAATGTTATGATAAGTGCTTACAGCTCATCAGTAAGGCTCAAGTACCACTTCACTGGCACCAAACCAGAGATGTATTTTAACTCATATCAACATTTATGAAATATTCCATGAGTGAAACTCATTTTTTTTTAAAACATTATGAGAAAGGACTTCTGTGACAGTCCAGTGGCAAAATATTTGTTTCATATGCAAGATTAATTAAAAAAAATAATGTGGAAAGTCATGCTTATTTTTTTTGCAGAAAACATTGTGGAGTTCAGTGTTTACATTGCCTATGCATTCTGATGCAATTTGATCTGTCATTTGTAACTGCATTTATTTGATACTGAATAAAAAGTAGGCCTACTTAAATTAGATCAATTAGATTCCATTTCCATTACCAAAGATTAAGTGAAACTTTCTTTGCAGAATTCTTTGCAGGTTTTGAAAATAATAAATGGCACTCACTTCATGAATTGAATTAATCTTTTTAATTGGAGAATGCGAAACAACTGCTCAAGCAGTGATGGTGTTTTTATGAGATGGCTGGCAACTAATCACTAACTAAATTCCTCGTGCAATTGTTTTGTTGATCTATATAATTTGGCAAGTAGTGACCCATGTCCACGCTCAGATGTCTGAATGTTTCATTTCTACCAAACTTTATGTTTAGTAATTGCCATTTAGCAGCTGCTTTACATTCAGAGCAGCTTCCTGTTATTGCAGAGACAGCCCTTTCAGAGCAACCTAAAGCTAAGTGTCTAGCTTAAGTGTACTTGATGATAAAAAGCAAGTGATGTCGGAAGTCAGAACTCCTTTTTTGAGTACATGTTATTGAACATGCAGCCACCAGGTTACCACCAGTCCACCATGTAACCTCCACATCTTGCAGATGAATTCACAGACTAATGGACTTCTTCTGCCCCTTAATAAAACTAAAAGCAAGGAAAGACAGTCCATCTGACTCATTATGTTGGCGTAATCCTTTATGGTCAATTAGATTTTCCTCCATGTCTGTCAGCTCAATGAAAATTTATGATTTTGGAGAAAGAGGTAAGAGAGTAGTGTTTGTGACAGCGACAGAGTGTGTAGAGACAGGCCGTGATGTCCTTGATGTTGAGTGAAATATTTAGTGGATGAAAGTCAAATGTATTAATATGGTCAAAGGTGACAGTGTGCACACACACACACACACACACACACACACACTAGATCTGATGTATGGAGCTTGAGTGATCCTATAGGTGGATGGTAGAAGAGTAATTGAATTAATGCTCATCTTATAACTATCATGAAAGGTTTATTATTCCATAATGCACATTTAGTGGTTGACCATTATGTGTTTTTCAATGGCCGATGACCATGCCAATGGCTGAAAAGAAAACTGATACAATGAGGTCCAAAATTCTGAGGGCACTTTGAAAACCTGGGATTCAAATTCTAATATAGAATATAAATTTTAGATTTAGATTTTTTTTAATTAAATGTTTTATTTATTTTTTTAAACAAAGAAACAACTAAAAATTAATAAGAAAAAGTTAAGATTCTGCACTGTTTGTTTACTCTAGATAGATTTGTGTGAACATTTTACTCAAATTGTAATGTCATTTGCAATGATTTTTATTAATAAAGAAAAATACAAGATAGAAGTGTTTTCACTAGTAATCTAAAACTAGCTTGGCCTCCACTGTATAAAATACGGTAACACTTTACAATAAGCTTCATTAGTAACCATTAGTTAATGTATTAACTAACATGAACTAACAATAAGCAATACATTTGTTACAGTATTTATTAATCTTTGTTAATGTTAGTTAATAAAAATCCAGCTGTTCATTGTTTGTTCATGTTAGTTCACAGAGCATTAACTAATGTTAACAAATCCAACCTATATATATATATCAACTAATGAACCTTATTGTAAAGTGTTACCTAAAATACAATTTAATCATGTCAAAATCATGCACAGAATTGGTGGAAATAAATGAGCACTCATAGATGCATATATATATATATATATACACACACACACTCACACACACACGTCAGAAGTGCCCAAATGATTTAATGGGAAAGGCCAAAAATCAAACTTGTTCGAGAGATGTAGGCCGAAAATAAATGCTGCATACATCCAACTATATTATATTTATATCATAGTATATATCAAAATTTACATTTTGTTAATTAAATTCACTTATATTCTGTACATTTTAATGCAATGATAAAAAAACAGTGTTAAAACAAAAGGATAAGTTAAAAATTAAGTGTTTTTTCCTATATTTCTCCCTTCTTGTGACATGACATGGCATAGCTGGCCAAATAAATATCATGGGCCAACCTAGAATGGATATATTTATTTTAATAATTTAATTATTATAAGAACTTATATATTAATTAGAATTATTAAAATTCACTGAAAAATGTAAACAAACAAAAAAGTAAATTGTCTGCTGACACATGCTGTTATTAGATTTAGGAACTGACACAACTATCACTTCTGTTAATCAGCCAAGTGGGCAGTTTTCAACCAATGCCGATAATAAGAAATTGGGCAATTAATCACCCTGGCTGATAAATCGGTGTTTCACTACTCGTGTTGTATATTTTTTGTAGATTATATTTATGCTGACGTTGCTGTGTAATCAAGTATTCTCTGTGAATTTTCCATGCATCAAATTATAAATTGCTGCTTCTTTTTCTTTCAGGACATGGAACAAAGGGTGTGTTTGAGCTTCTGGCAGGCTGGAGAAGAACCAGAGAGAGTTTGCCCTTCAAGGAGAGGGTGGCAGATGCGTTCGCTGACGTGATGGTGTGCTACACCATGACCAGCTCGCTCTATATTATCACCTTCGGCATGGGTGCCAGTCCTTTCACCAACATTGAATCTGTGAAGGTCTTTTGTCAGAGCATGTGTGTAGCAATCCTGGTGAACTACTTCTACGTGTTCTCGTTCTATGGCTCCTGCCTGGTGTTTGCCGGACAGCTGGAGCAAAACCGCTATCACAGCGTCTTCTGCTGCAAGATCCCCTCTGTGGAGTATCTGGACCGCCAGCCCACCTGGTTTAAGACCATGATGAGTGACGGCCACGACCTGTCTACACACCACGACAGTGTACCGTACCAGAACCACTTCATTCAGCATTTCCTGAGGGAGCATTACACAGAATGGATTACCAACACCTATGTCAAGCCATTTGTGGTTATCCTCTACCTGATTTACGCCTCCTTTTCGTTCATGGGATGTTTACAAATCAGCGATGGCTCCAATATAATTAATCTGTTAGCTAGTAATTCGCCCAGTGTGTCATTCGCCCTGACTCAACAGAAATACTTCAGCAACTACAGTCCGGTGATTGGGTTTTACATCTACGAACCCATTGAGTATTGGAACTCCACAGTGCAGGAGCACCTCAAGACATTAGGCCAGGGCTTTAATAAGATTTCATGGATCGATAATTACTTTCACTATCTGAGGGTCGTGAATGTCAGCGCATCAACCAAAAGTGATTTCATTAACATCCTCAAGACTTCTTTTCTGAGGAGCCCAGAATATCAACACTTTGTGGACGACATCATTTTCTCTAAAAACGGAGATGAGTATGACATCATCGCATCCAAGATGTACTTGGTGGCCAGGACGACCGAGAAAACCAGGGAGGAAGTCGTGGAGTTGCTGGAGAGACTTCGACCTCTCTCCCTTATAAACAGCATCAAGTTCATCGTTTTCAACCCAACGTTCGTGTTCATGGACCGCTACAGTTCCTCCATCATCTCCCCCATCCTGACGTCGGGTTTCAGTGTGCTCACTATTCTCATCCTCACCTTCTTCCTGGTCATTAACCCACTGGGGAACTTCTGGTTGATCTTGACCGTCACCTCAGTGGAACTGGGCGTCTTGGGTCTCATGACGCTCTGGAATGTAGACATGGACAGCATCTCTATCCTGTGCCTTATTTATACTCTCAACTTTGCCATGGATCACTGTGCCCCCCACCTCTACACGTTCGTACTGGCCACTGAGCACACACGGACTCAGTGCATCAAGATCTCTTTAGAGGAGCATGGGGCCGCCATTTTGCAGAACGCCTCTTGTTTTGTAATTGGGATAATGCCTCTTCTCTTTGTGCCTTCTAATCTGACCTATACACTGTTCAAGTGCTCCCTTCTCACAGCCGGCTGCACAGTGCTGCACTGTTTTGTCATCCTACCGGTGTTTTTGACATTCTTTCCACCCTCGAAGAAGCGGCACAAGAAAAAGAAACGGGCCAAACGGAAAGAGCGGGAAAGAGAGAGGGAGAGGGAGAGAGAGGAAATAGAGTGCATTGAAGTCAGGGAAAACCCAGATCATGTGACCAGTGTTTGATTGAAAGACGTGTGTGAGCGTAAGTGATAAGAAATCAGCTCCCGTCCACTAGGGGGCGACGTCAGGCAGCACTTCACAGGTCCAGAGGTGGCCGGGTCCGGCACTCTTGCTCCTGGGGTGACCCTTGCGACCCCAGCTATCAACAACAATGCTGTCCAGAGTAAAAAAAAATCCTTCTCACTCATGTCTTGTGCACCCTTCGTCCAGAACAGTGTATAGCATCTGCAGCTGCTAGCTTACGTTAACATGAAAGGTTTGAGCAAAAAGGTTGTCTGTATACAATAACAAATTCAGAAGACCAAAACTGAAGGCCTCCAAAAATGTTAGCATGAATCTATATGCAGGTTGGATCTCTAGTGGTATTCCCAAGGGTATTTGTTTGTTTTGTAAGAGTAGATATCACAACCAGGTACATTTGCTCTTATTTAGCACCAACATGAATCTTTTTTTTTTTTTAACTGTTATGCATCTCACATTCCTCCAGCCTTGTGCTTACATAATTAATCAAGACCAACTCTGTTTAAAAATAACTATGTGAAAAATAGTAGCAAACGGAAGTAGTGGTTTTCAGCTTCCATCAAATTATGCAACACTCTCCTACAAATAACACTTGGCATGCATTTATCAGAAATGTCCTGTAGCAAATCTAACAGTGTGTTTGCAATTTCTCTGGTAGCAGTTATTTAGACTCGATCCCCGAGACGTCCCACCTTATACCTAGAAAATATCCTCCGAGCAAAGCATTAATGGCCAATAGAATGAGTTATTGAGGACTGGAAAGGTGTTTTTCTCCTTTAAATGTTCAGTGAAAGTACATTTGTCAAATTTGACATTTAGCTGATATTCAGACTGTAATTTGTTCTACTCTTCTGAGTAAACAAACGGCGTCTGAAGGTGTAGCGTGTGTATGAATCACTAAAATGTTTGCATAATATTAAACTGCATATGCCATTTAAAAAAGATTTTCCAAAACACCCAAGCGGCTCATTCATGAGAAAATAGACTTGTAGCATGTCTTAAAGCTGCATTGCTATGGTCTGTTTGATTACTTGCTTGTGTGTTTGCTTGTTACATTAACTACAAATCTGGCCATGAACCGGTTTGTGTAGTTAAACTGCGCAATGACAAAGAGATTAGAAGGTTTTCCTTACTGTTGCTTTCTGTACTGTTATTTTGCACATTAGCCAGATTCACTGATGGCTGTCATCTAAAAAGATTCAGTATGTGTAAAAAAACAAGGGTAGATATAGTTTTTAAGTGTAGCATGTGTTTCGTCTGTATTTGTGTGTGTTTGCAGGGATGAGCAGTGCAGATGATATACACTGTGTTCACGTTGAAGAAATATCATGCACAAATCACATAAAGCTATCAAGGTACATTCTGGTGGAAATTAGTATGTCTCTAATGTTTCAAGTATTGGCTCTCTTGCATCAGGCAATGTTATGTAGGCTATTAGCAAAGTAGTCTCAGTTTTGATCTGTGGGGAATTTTTACATAACAAATATATTTATTAGACATAAAGCACCATTTAAACCTTATATGGCATTATGAAGCAACACAAAAGGTAATGTAGAAAATTTAAACATTAAAGGGTACATTTTGGTTCACCCAAAAATGAAAATTCCGTCATCATTAACTCTCGTCGTTCCAAACCTGTTGGACTTCCGTTCTTAACACACACACACACAAACACACACAATATTTTGAAGAATGTTTTTGCCCATACAATGAAAGACAATGGGGTCCAAAATAACAGGCTGTTCAGTGTGTTCCACAGATAAACGAATTCATAGAGGTTTGGAACGACACGAGGGTGAGTAAATGCTGACAGAAGGTTCATTGTTGGGTGAACTATCCCTTTAATTTGAAAATTTATGGAGGCAAAAATCAGCAGCTGTTTGCTTTTTGCAAGACTCATTTCCCCCACCGCTTGCATCCCGGAAGCCTATTAGTTAATGTTCCAATAATCACAGATTACAAATATTTAGTATAAATATTTTATCAAACTCTGATTGTCCTAATCAACAGTGTAAAGGTGTAATCAAAGTAGTGATATCCTTATCTCATGCTACAACAAACTGTTCTCTTCCTTGCCATGTTTCCATTGGTCCAGATATAGATTCAAATTGATTCTACAGTAGTTCAGTCATTGCAATGTATGCCTCAAGATAGACTGCCTGCCAAAAAATGTGGAATTTAACCCCCAAAAATGTTGATGTTAAAATTCAGCTAGCTTTAGTCCTGCTGTGTTTATTGTACACATTTCATAATCATCAAACTGTGCAACATGTATGTGGTAGCCAGAGCCTTACTGATCCAGTCAAACAACTGGATTCATTGTAGAGTCATTCCAAAGGCAGAAGGCCTCTCGTCGGGGAAGGTTTCAAGTTTAATTGAGAGGTTGAGATACATGGACCAAAAAGTTTGCTACAGAAGCATTAGAAAAGTCCACGAAACTAATGTCACCACAAAACGCTTAATGTACATTGATGATCCTATGTTTTCATTGACTGTTTAAATGTCACAGGTATTGGACACTCAAGTTGATGGCCACTGTGTTAGATGCAACATTCCAAACCCAGCAGGTTTCATAAACATTAGTCAATGAAACCTTTATGTACTTGGGGTCTAATATCGATGGCATCCCCATATTTTGTCATTTGTGTTGGAAGGGGGCATGAAAATTAAATATAGGAAGGCAAGAGATGCATAATGAAAATGATGAAAAATCATATACTTCCCAAAATGACTGTGTATGCATGTAATGTATGTATGCATGCATGTATTTGGTTTGTGTGAGTAATTTTTCCCCCCTGACTTTTTGAGAGCTGTAGTTGCTGGAGGGAACTCTTTGTTTTAATGCATACTTGATACCATCTTCAGAAATGTATGTTTTACAGTTTTGATTTTATTTTCTGGTGTGCTTTAAGCCAGTGGGAAAATGATGAATTGTAAAATAAATGTATAAAATTTTCTAATTTTTTAAAGAAATAAGAGGTGAAAACAGTTTTTTTTTAAATACAAGTCATGTTATTATAAAAAGCAATAAAGAACAAAAAAAGAATAAAATAAAATAAATTCTAAACTTAGTAGGCCAGTAATAACATATGGAACGTTATTGCATCCTCACAAGTCTGTTCTTGTTGTCACACTACAATATGTTTGATCTTTTGTTGTTAATTATAAAGCCTATATGAAAAAGTCAATGTAATTTTGCAGGTGACAACGTATCTCCTGACTGTGTGGCATAATCCATTTCTTTATAGGTGGCCAAAACTGAATGTTAAATAGAAATCTTAATTATAATGCAAGATATATAGTCATAGATAGAGAGTTTGTAGGAACTTTGCTAAATATATTGATAAAGCTATTAAAACGCCAAATAACTCTGTTGACAATTCAGGACACTTAATTAAGTTCCAATTATGTAACCCAACTGCGTGTATATTACGTCTACTAAACTGCTGGTCATATCTCTAGAGTTAAGACTGTATAGATGAAAATCTGCATATTGTTCTTTTTGTTGTGATGCATGTTCTTGGATCAGGCCATAAATCACTTAGTTGACATTCTTATTATCTGCTTTATTTAACATCAAAGTGGCCCACAAATCAAAGTCAACACAAAGTCACCACCGTTTTCAGTGAAACCACAGACTTCAGGCATGCAGCTACAGATTCTGAGGGCCATAAATCAAATATGCACTTTTGGGCTCCAATCATTTTGTCAACTAGCATGTTATTTTAGATTTCATGAGCTAAGACTGTGAATCATTGCGAAACTTATATAAATGATTTATTAATCATTTCCATTACAGGGTACGCATTTGCTGCACCCTATTTTCTTCAAATGCAAAACCAGAGGTCAAACAACAAACAAAAACAGATACTTTGTCTAATATGTAAAGCCAATTTCACTCTACAAAACTTACAGGTCAGCTCAAATTATTTAGTCAGGAGATTAGGTTAAAAAAAAGAAGCACATTTAAATTTAATAACAAGCATATTCTTTCACACAGGTGACCCTAAGCATACACAGAACACTGTATGTTTGTCCTAATTAGTCACCGTTTTATCATGAGAGTTTGCTATTCAGAATACAGATCATTTCTGTCGTGTGTAATTTCAACTGTATTTTACATTGCCAAGGACAAAAAAAACAACAAACAAAAATCACCGCAATACACAGTGGGACCTTTCTGATACAGAACAAACATCTTTCAGATGATATTGTGAATTCAAGGTGATGATAAAACACTGGATATCGGACAGCTTTTTAGCACACACCAGCATGTAGTGTTGTTCTCCATGATCAGGTCACTCATACTACAGAGCAATAATGTGACAAAAAGCGCAAAACTGTATGTTGTTGTTTCCCCTCTGATGCATACGTTTAGCCTCTGCCAGGGTCCAAAATTAACACTTTTTTAATTACACTTTCCACAATGCAATTCTGACCTTAAGCTTGCAAAAGGGTCTATATCAATATTCTTTTTCAAATGCAGGTAAAAATGGCTTAGATGATTTGTATCAGTTACTAGAACAAAGTACTTGTACAAATGTACATTGTATTGTTTTACTTGTATATGAAATATTCGTCACATTACCAAATGTGTTACCAAAAGTCACCAAATGAAAAAAAAAATGAGGGGGAAAAAGAATGATTCAACTTTATGTATTTGTGAGCAGTTATGTTTCACTGCGAGACTGTACAATAACCTGCACTGATTGCAACAAATTTACAATAAAATAATGATAATTCATTATTTCATCAAATTAATATAATGTGAAATATGGTTTCATGACAATGATTTATGGCTGGCAAATGAATTGAGAAAATGTACAAGTGCAGCAGCAAGAAGTTAACTTTGGATCCTGGCCATATGACACATATTATACACTTATCCATCTCTGGTTTGTTTCTAGCCAGGCTATACAAAACAAATCACTTAGACATCAGTTGTACCATGTTGAATGTGCAGGTGTCCTGATATAACAAGCTCTTCACAGTTAAGAACTTTGATTTTACGAGAGGTTACAGAATTTGTGACCTCGATTCACAAAATGAGCCCAAAACATTCATGTCTTGTGTTGTATAAGCCAACAACAAGAAGGCAGTTTCTGTGGATTTCTTTCTCTTCTTATAGTGAGCTCATAGTTGTTCACTGCTGTATCTGTATTAACTCTACAGTGTTGTTTTTACAGTAAAACCATAATAATAATAAATGGGATGGCAAGTTGTAAAAGATTTTAAACAAAAAAAAAGGCTAATTAGAAGTGACTTGTTGTCATTAATCTGACTTGGCGTTTACTATTAGGAAAAATGATACTTGACAATGCAGAATAACTGTGTTTAAGATTCCGTTCTTTATGTTTGGTAATTTTGCCGGCATTTACTTCTTTTGTGTTTAAGCTAATAAGCACTAATTGAAGACTGTGTGATTGTTATGCAAGTGCTCATCAACTTTGTTGAAACAAAATTAGACAAGAATTAGACTGCCATGGATTGTACCTCATATCAAAGCTTTTACAATCCAAGACCCACAGGCTCATAAAATGAGTTATTTCAAAGAGCTAAATATATTTGAATGTGTCCACTTGTGACTATTTGTGGTATTGCCCACAGTAAATCTTTATAAGCAGCTTGCACAACATAAAAGTTATTGTCGATTTTCAGTGGTTCGTCTAATGCAATTAGTTCGTACCTAAACAGTAAATTACAATATGAGACTACCTAATATTCTGTATGATTTAAGGTCAGTGTTTTTAAACAAAGTAATCTGCGAGGCTTAGTTCATTGTTGTCCGTTTAGTATCTGTTCTATGTGAGCTCTTAAAGAAAAAACAGTATGTCATCCGCAACACACAGCAGTAAATCCTTAATACAAATCTATTGACATAATCAGCACGAGTTAATGCATTTAGTCAAATCCATTTATGTGCCCAAATATACGAAACAAAATAGGGACGTGTAATGGAATTACAGTAGTAAACATCGTAGTCTACTGCATTTGATTCTTAAGGGTCCTCTCAAAGACACAAACTAAGTGAGATTTTTAGGATAAATAGCTGTACAGAGTGAACATTTTTAAAAGGGCACTAAGATGAGCAACATCTGCTTTACCACATGGGAAATTACGGTTAAGGTACTATGTATGCAAAGATGCTCTCTATGTCCTTTTTTATTAA